CCTGTTCACGGGACAGAGAGCACCATTAGCAGGGAAAGGACGGAACCCAAGACAGTCTCATGGAGTTAGAAGGGTTCCTCTGGCAGTAAAGAGAGCACGCCGAGCAAAATGCACAATTTACTTCTTCCCTTCAATCATCCAGATCCTCTTATGAGCCCGGCCTTAAAATATTTCTAAAATTGGAGCAGCTAAACAGCAAAGAAAGCATAAGGATTAATGTATTTTATCTATGCTGTTATCATACAGATGATGGACGGGTAATTTCATGACCTCCTCCAAAGTCATAGCAGTAGGGATGGTTTCTAACAGCCCAGGGGAAGGCATCTGGCTTTCCTCATCCCACTTTAGCACACAAACAAAGAAAAAAAAAGCTTAACGGTGAGCCAGTATCGTCCTGGTATCAATCCCAGATACCTGCAGTTGTTAAACACCATCCAAAAAGCTATCTGCAAACGTGCAGCAAGGATCTAGCGTGCTTCAAAGAAGTTTCCATCAGCTAAAGACACTTCCTCTCCCAGGGCTTTCCCACATTTCCCATCAGGCGCCTTTTTTTCCCTGTCATATGACACTCACAGAAGATTTCTCTGCAAAAGCCCGTGTGGGGCTTCCCTTTCAAGGTGCAAGGCCTCTGATGAACACGAGGATATCAAAGAGCAGCACTGCAGAGGGAAATCTTTGGGGAATAGGTTTGGGGTTTTTTTAAAACACTAGTATCTTTCCCATACATCAGCAGCATATGGCCACCTCCAAAAACTATATTCAACTCACGCAGAGCATGAAAGATTATTTCTATAGTATCCCAACGAGGATACGAAGCCAAGGTTACCTCTCCAAGGCAACAGAAAGCTTTGTATTGTGAGAGACCTGAGCACATTTGTGCCTTGAGAAGTACTCAGGTTAAGGGTTAAGGGCTGGGCAGAAACAGGCGACAGTCCACGCAACCAGACAGCCCACGCAACCAGACAGTCCACGCAACCAGACAGTCAAAACCCATCTCCCCTCTGAAAGGAGATGCTATCACCGCACTTGTTTGGAGGGTGCTGCCCTCCTGTTCATCCTAGAAGGGCAAAATTCCCATCCCATTGACAGGTCATCACCAGGGCTTGGGTCCAAGTAAGAGAACTAAACTCAGTTTCCAACCAGAAGACCAGGGTTTGCCATGTAAATAAAAAGATTCCCCAGATTTGGGGAACTGTCCCAGAAGTTGAATGGATGTTTTCTCCTGCAGTAGCACCTTCAGAGTCAAAACCCATCTCCACTTTGAGCACAGTATCTGGCACAGTATCTATTTTCCTTTTCCAGGCAGCCCTCCTCCCTCTCTCGATCCTACACCAACACGTCGGGACCCAAATTTAGGTTTATCCCATCAAGATCCTCCATGACTGCGAAGAGCTCTGCTCAATCTGCTCATCAGCCAGGGTGCGCTTCACTGATACACACAAACAGCAGCGCTGTTTGTCACCTGGCCCTGCGCCATCCCAACGCCGACCCTGGGGCGTGCAGTGAAGAAACTCTGCTCTCCTGTCTTTGAGGATGATGACACCAAGCTCTTCAGTGTCTTAACACTGTGAGGCGCTTCAGGCTTTCAGCCCTGCAATGCAAAACTAGAACAAAAAGACCTTAATTACAGCCCATTTATTAGAGGGAACACCATCCTTTTCGAGCCTTTGTGTGCCTGTCAAGCAGAGCGCAAGGACGACAGACTGCACAGTAAGGTATAGAGACCTGTGAAGCTCTGTAAAAGTTAAATATTATTAAAAATTAAGGAAAAGCCATGAGAACAACAGACTGAAACGCTGAACGCCAGTAGAAAGAGAAAAGCAGCAACTACTCAAGCCACCAACGCAATGAGTGGGAGAGATTTATAGATTAAGGAGGATAGGGAAGGAAGATCTTACTGAGAATTACAGCTACACGACAACATAATAGCCAGCAAATCAAATTACTAAACCAGTAGATTATTCTGCACGTTATCCATCACGCCACGATGCAGAAGTGACCTCATTAACATTGTTCCCCCTCTAAACAATTCGGCGTTGTGCTTACACGCCACACTTTGAAACAAAAACCTGGGCAAACCTGGCAGAGAACAATCCCTATTCAGTCATAAAAGGCCTCACAGACATAAAACACCACGCACCTCAGCCGCTGTTTTATAAACAGGAGGCTAAATAGAAACCTGCTTCATATTTCAGGACAGGTGAAAGAGATTAGTAGTCCTCTCCAGAACTCCTGAAGGCAATCCGTGTACGTCAGCTTCCCAGCCACGTCCACAGCAACACCTTTACCTAGAGCTTACCCTATAAAACAGAAAAAACCTCAACCACCACCGGGATTTCTTAATGCAGTTCACCAAAATTCAAAAAAATGCTGAACTTAATTACGGTTAGCGCGAAATAGCACCCCATGACAACATCTAGAGGCGTCAAGTGAAGCAGGGTATTTTAAACGCTTGCTTCTCCGAGAGGAAAAGATGGTACTTTTGACATCTCAGGAAAGATGCTGTTCGCAGCTCTGGCACAAAACCATGCTGGTGAGAAATGAAAGGGCAAAGTTCAGTGCTGGTGCCCAGGGAGGATCTAGCTGGCTGCCAGAATTTCCACACATTGGAACAAATGTAGGAGTTCCAGAAAATACAGAAGGAGCGCATGTTCAGACATTAAAAAGTGACCTAAAAGGAACAGAACTGGGTTCAAGTCATTTTATCTTGCTTCGAAGAGTTAAAAAAACGGCCAATAGCTTTTCTGGCGGAAGAAAATCTGCCTGTTTTATACATCAAACATTCAAGCCCTGTCAAGCCCAGAAGATAATGAGATGGTGACACGCCAAGAGCCAAAAGCAGTAAGGCAGGGGCCTTTTTAGTAATAGATGAACAAAGTTCATTAGCACCAATTTAACTTCCAAAAAAAGAAAAAAACCTCACACAAACAGTGCCTTGGGTGAAGGCCCGCACCATTAGCATCTACATTCTTCTTCCTTTTAGTATTTCAAGACGCAGAAAGATTAACTTCAGTGAAACTCAGGTTTAAAACAGGTTTCCCGTTCCTTCCTTTAGACTCTTTTCGGACAGCGGTGATACACCTTAAGAGCCCAAAATAAACACACAAATCCAAGTTTTCTGTATTTCTTACTCCTTTAAAAGTCCACTTAATAAAAGTAATGGATCTACATGGTTTCTTTATTCCCAAATACCTGAAACTGTTTTAATCCATGAAAGAACTATTTAAGAACCGTGTTCATACAATAAACTGAAGAAGAAGGAACTGTGCAAAGTCTTGGACTATTCAATCCCTTTCTGCAAGAAGACTGAGAATTTAAAGTCTTCATAAAGAACCTTCATTGGCTTATCTCAAGGTTAAATTAAGATGAACTCATGTGAAAGTAGCTTATTTTAAGTGAAAGGTCATCTATTCAAGCACGCTCTGCTGCAAGGGCTGCCTCTTTTGTAGAAGTAGACAGAACTCAGTGAGGATCTAAGCACGAATAAACAAATACAAAGTTAAAAAAGAGAAAATACACAGAACTCACTACTCTCCTCATTTTTCATTCAGACCATTCTACATAATTCATCAAAAAACGCATCACATCAGTTTGTGAACAGAAACCAATTCAGCTGGGTTTCACTTCTCTCTCATACAACAATCGCCTGATTTTTTCTTTCCTATTCTGTCTCCCAGGGCAAGCCGGAACAGATGTATCTCGCATTCTCCTGTTGCAAAGGATTACCCAGATTTCAAGCCCACATTCCAAGAGGACTGGACTGTTTTTCTCATATACCTTCTTCTTGGTAAGACAGGAAATTTTCTTCCCTGAATGGAGACTGCGTGGGACAAGGCTACAGCTCAGCACCACACTTAGAGGACTCGAGAAAGCATTTTTCACAAGCTACAAACAGCCATAAAGACAGCAGTGTGACTGAATTACTTGGAGAGATTTCCTAACCGAAATCAGGAATTTTTGCATCTGAGGATACCCAGATCCGATTTCCTTCTTGAGACTTCAAAATGGAGAAATTCAACACCGAATTTGGTGTCTTCTGAGAGAGAGAACTGCAATATTGCCCCACAGTTAGTTCAATTAATATGGATACCATAAGACTCCAGGAGAGCTGGCTTGCTCAAATGTCTGGTGTAATTACCCTGATGTTATATTTCTTCCTGTTGCTGCTGTACAGCCTCTCAAGTATCTTCTTGCTGTAGCAGCATCTTGCACGATATTAAAGAAAGGAGCTCCAGTAGTGATGCTCAAGGACAAGAGTTGTTCTGCTGCTGACACCAGCTGACAGCAACTAACAGATAAGCTGGGCTGATGCCACCATGGCTCAGCCACACTCTTTTCCTCCCTGGATGGGTGTTTCCCAACACAAAAAAAAAAAAAAAAAAAATCAAATCTTTTTACTTCAGCCATATTTCTGACAATTTGAGCTTTGCAATACCCAAAGATCAAAGCAACCTCATTCAGCCCTTGAGCCGCAATACGTCTTTGAATACACTCCCACTCAGAAAAAGCCAAGTTCACTTTATTGAGCAACTTTCGACCTCCAAGCAGGGACCACACAAGCCTCAGCCCGCAGAACAGTAAGAAGCAGCCGAGACGGCACAGTTTCAGCCTGATTTTAACCGTGTGTTTCAGCACGATGGGTGTTTCTCCTTTCGCCATAACGCAACATTCCAGTCGAATGAAAAACACACGACCAGCCCCAGAAAGAAGCAGCCGCGGCTGCAAACAATACCATTAACCAGTTACACAACGGAGCTAAGAAAACAAAGCAGCCATTTCCCCACGCTCTCCCCCACCTCCTTCTTCCACCCTCTTGGCCCCGCAGTCGTGAGACCCGGGTCCGCTCCCAACTCCCCCAGATGGCATCTGCTGCTTTTGTTTTCTTGCCACTGTGCCAACCTTTGTTTTAATTCATCCCCAACTGAATCGAAGCTGAAGTTTCAGGCAAAGTTGGGCTAGCTAGGAGGAAGGCGTTTACATAATACGAATTTAACAGCTGTTCTGCCAGTCTCCATCTGGAATCCTGCCCAGCGGAAATGAACAACTCCCCATGAGGCCAACCCAGGGGATTTAAAGGCAGATGTGAATTATCACAGCCAAATCAAGCCACGGGTGGCGTTAACACATTTCACACACCGGAGTGAGGCATGGATTTGCCTGGGGAAGCCAGCAATGCCAGAGAGGAGCCCAAAGACTCGAAACTCCTTCGAGTCTCCAGTTAACTTTCTTACAAGAGAAAACTCCGCTTAACCTGAAGAACTTCACCTGATTTGAGGAAGTAACACTTATTTTTGCTCTTAAAATGAGTACTTCAGCGTACTATGGATTTTAAGACTTGCTCTTAACTACTGACACGCCACAGAACAAAATAATCCCAGTAGAGAGGAGTTAGGCTGTCCTTTTCATCTGACAAGTCTATACAAAAAGTGAGAAAAGCTTTCACCTTTGTGTTCGCTGCAATCCAATTAGAAGTCTCGCTGTCATCATCACACTTCTTAATCCATTTCTTTAACCACTGGTAGAAAAATGAAGAGAGAGTCACATTTAAAGAGAGGAACTGGAAATACTCCCAAGACAGCTGCTCACGTGCAGGTGAGGCACATACAACCACGTGGGAGTACAGGGAGCAGTGCTGTAACTGTTGTCTCCTCCAGACATGTCTCCATCTGGCCGAGGCACTGTTCCTTCACAACTTCCAGCTTTGAGGTAACCGATAAGATTTCACTGATTCTTCTCACACTACGATCTAAACAGGTCAACTACTACACTCCTCGATGCAAACAGCTGCAAAGCTTGTGCTTAATTCCTACATTTTCCACCTAAATTGACTCTAAACTTTTTCAAGCTACACATTTAGAGAAGAACTTTGATGGGCTCACCTTGCATTTAACAGGATCGTGCCAGTTTTCACCGCAGTTAAAGCTGTAAGTGAAAGAAAGGGGAAAATAAGCAAATGGGGCAAACAGTTACACTTTTATTTAACTAGGTTAACACTGTGGAAGGTTTCTTCTGGGTTGTTCGGCTGAAAGACTAAAGTCAGTCCCAAGGAAACATTATATGCGTCAAAAACAGGAAAAAAAACCCCCACAGCGTTCAAAATCCCTCAAGAGAAGGAGGCTCAAGACACAGACACCAACAACTACGCCATGATGGGTTTCGCAGCGAGCTGTAGAGCAGGATCAGGTACATCTGAAGTCCACGCTTCTCCCCAACATCTAAACCACATCTTGGTATGAAGACTTACAGAGCACGTGCTAATAAACTTTCAAGACAGCAAGTACAAAGCAATAGGCCTTTTTGCCTTACCAAAACTGACGTCCACATTTGCAGCGAACAGGTTTAGCATCAGGATATTGGACTTTAACAACGTGGTGGCAATCTGGGGCAGGACACCATTTTAACAGTCGATTACACTATGAAATAAAGAAAAAAAAATACTAGAAAAAAGGATGCTGCACAAGGACGCCACCTGTCATTCACCCCCTTTTCATCCCGTCAGCCACGACCTTCAGTCTTCATCAAAGAATATAAAAGCGGAGAACCATTTAGGTTGGAAACAATCTTTAAGACCACCAAGTCCAACTGTCAAACCAGGTTCACCACTAAGCACCACACCTACATATCTTTTAAGTACCTCCACGCTATGGCTGCTTGCTGTATCTCTAGGTCTTTTAATATTTTCATATTTTCCTATATCTATACCTATAACTAAAAAGGCTACATAACAATCCCTGCAAAGCCTCTCACTTGTAGTCACACCTGATTAGAGACTAATTCTCTGGTTTGGTACATACATGAGACAAAAACGACTTAGGAGCAATGAAAAGATTCAAATAAAGACTCACCTCTACAAAACTATTGGTTATTAAATGCTGGTACTTTAATTTAACCTTGGAATCTGTGATCAAACGCCTGCGAAAAGGGAAAAAAGCAGAAAAAAACATTGTGGTAGGAAATTTACTGGCTGTGCATGGAGAAAAATGAGTTAAGACAGTCAAAAGGTTTTGATTACTCCTTCTACACTTGCAGGCACTTTTTTGGACTTACATATTCTCTATTCCTGTATTAAAACATCAAGAAAACTACACATATTGCATTTAACTTACAATATTAGCTTTAGAATTATACAGAAAGTTCACACAGTTCCAAAGAACTGAGCCTCTTGGTAACGGGATTTTTATTTAAACACTTTCCTCAAGAGCCCAAGAAACAGAGGAAACAATTTCAATAGTTTATTTACATTAAACATGCACATTTTGGGGCAAATCCCTTTAAAATCCTCCAGAACAACCGTCGTGCGGTTAATAACTTTGGTAGACCCTAATGTTTTCTGGGTTTCAGTAGAATGCTACAGCTTCAGTTTAAAAGGTAATGTTGGTTTAATCTATTTACCATAAAACCAAAGTTGATTTAGATTCAGCATCACAGAGGAGGTACAAAACATCAACTTTAAATTAAGTCAGTCAGCTTAGAAGTGGGAGAACAGAAAAAAAAAACAGAAGGAATCCTTTAAAAGAATGGTGACCACTTTTCTCCTGGATGCATCAACCCAGCTGGCATTTGCAGATGACATGTCAAGACTATATATATTCAGAATAATTTAATTCTACACTGCTGAGCGCTTATATACCCATCTTTCAGTTACGACTAAAGTGTCTTTCACATATATAAAAACATAAAAGCTGGACTACAAGGAACATATCTTTTAAACCATGTTGTGGGCTACAGCTTTACACAGGCCGCATCACATCTAAATATTGAAATTAATAGATTATCCATTTCAGGGTACAGCCAAAACCAAGCATATCATGCCAAAGCTCATTAAAGCACAGCGCACGTGACGACATGATGTTGCCTAAATCCTGGCTCTCAGCAGTCTGGGGAGCTTCTCTCCAAACGACACGTTGGTTATTATATAAAACAGAGCACGTGGCAGCCAAATTCCCCGTGCAAAAATAAAACAAATCGGCTGATGAGTTGATTTTCAGAGGTTACTACTAGATCGCTGCCACCCACAGGCAGAGGCCGTTAGACACGCCGGTAATAAAGGCAATCAACAACTTTGCATATAGGTTAAAGCAATTACCAGCAGCATTAGCGAGGGTGAACAAGGGACAGAAGCAGATTATCTTCAGCCAGCTTGAAGGTCTCAGAACTGAAAGGGACCCTCTCTTCAACTGAAGCTCAAGAGTCATGAGGGAAACGGACAATAAGCTAGCTGAGCGCTCACAAATCCAGGAAAGTCATCTCAGTTCCTAGGTCTGGACTCACATGGAGATACCTCAACTTGGCAACACTGTACAAGAGCAACTACTGAGAAGTAAATTAATCGCTTGGTCTATCTACTTTGATTTTCCAGTGGATCACAGACCCCAGATATCTGTCATTTCTAGGCAAGGGGGAATTCCATAGTGAGAGTTGAAGACTGCCCAGATTCACCCCAGTACTGTGGGTTTCTGTGCTAGAAAAGTCAGGCCTACTACAATGCAGCAACAAAAGCCAGTGCTGCCCCCCTCTTATTCCGTCCTTTCTTTGCCACTGCTCGCACCACAGCCTCCCAACGATTTCGGCTAGCCTGCTTTACACGCACCACTTGAACAGCTTATGTGAAGTGCCGCAATCAAGGAGACACTCGAGAAATTTCCTGCCGAGAGGTAAAATGCCAGAAGTGGAGTCCAGACTCCGATAAACAAAAATCTCAAGTCACTCGAGGTAGGATGCCAACTTCGGCTTCCACCCACTGAACTCTACAAGCCACCCCTCAACAGGGCATGAAAACATTTCAGCTACTTCCCCTTCTATCCAGCCTACACTTCATGACTAACATAGAGCCACTAATGCAGAGGGCTATGGGAAACCACCAGTCTGAAAGCAACTGATATAAAACCCAGCAAATTAATATCAATGAGTGAGTCAGACTTCAGGAAGGAAGAAGGTAATAGAAGAAGCTTCTATTTAGGCACTTGTGAGCATGAAGAATTAAAATGAACTTAATCAAGGTTTGGAATTCTGAAGGATATTACTCATGCAATAACATCACCCCAATATAAAAGAGAAGGAAGCTCATGCAATTCACTGCTCCGCCACATATGAGCAGTCATCCTACAGCTGGACAACTTCACAAGCGAAGCGACACAGGCTGACACACCAGCTTCACCAAATCTTACTTTGAAGGGTCAACTGCTTTCTATCGGAGGACTTAAACACACCCCACACTCAGGGCTTCTTTCCTCTGACTCACATATTACCTATAGCTATAGGACCTGGTGAACCAGTGGGTTGACCTAGGGAGGAAGTCCTAAATTCCTACACAAATCAAAGGAAGCAGAAGTCACAAAGCAGTTAAATCGGGTTTGGAAACACTGCCTGGTGTTTTTTCTGCTGTCATGCTGCTCAAATTGGTCAAGTAGTCTTTCCTCCAAGTACTGCCACATGGGTTTTTCAAAGCTAAGCAGGAAGTTAAGAGACATATCGGTATTAAAATAAGACAGTTCAACAACAGTCTCTCTGCTGCCTTTGCAGTTTTTTTAAAAGCTAAGACATTCAAATAGCACACGAGTAACAAAACAGAGAAAGAGACGAAAGCCAAGAGGTGGCAACTTCTCATACTTACATTACTGTATTGTCATCAACTAAGATATCACAGCCATGAGCAGGGCATGAAATGGTCTGGGGGGAAAAAAAAACCACACACAAAAAAATCATAAGAACAGCATTTATCCTGTATTTGCATCATAAAGAATTCCAAGGCAACAGACTTCACTACGAGCCGTAGCAAAAAAAGAGCACTTTGGCTCTGTCATCACGTCCCAGATGTGCCACCGCGCGCAGCATGATTCCTCCCACCCCGAACCAAGACACCCGCACTAACTCCACAGAGTTCCCTCCAGCTTCACCCATGGCAAAGACCATAGCCCCCAAAGCTCTAGGGCTTGGGTTTATTTTGTTGTTTTTTGGGGGTTTTTTTTAAACTTTCATGGATAGGATTTCTCTCCTTTTATTCCCTTCACTCCGATATACAGGATTTCCAGCAACAAGTCATGAGGTGAGTTGACATTTTACCTGTCCCATGCCTTCCTCCATTATTTTGGTAGTTAAATATTCACTCCAGCACTGCATACAGAACTTGTGTCCACACTCAAGGCCAGTAAAGTACTGTAACGACAAAGAACAAACCACATCGAATTTTATCACATGGATTCCCTCGATTGTTTCACCTTTACCAGAGCTGTGCCATTTCTCACACCTCAGCCTCGGCACCAAACTCGGGATGCTACCATTTATTTTGCATCGTCCCCGCTATGTAACGCTGCTGATGCAGCCTTCGCCGTGCTTTCCAAGCCAGGCTTGAATCTCCAACTCTCTAGCGAGGAAAAGGTGTGGCTGACATTTCCATCCTGCCTGTTCATTTAACTCAAGCTTTGTTTTAGCAGGACATCAGAGGATAGCATGGCCTGCCCCTTACTCTTACAAACACATAAAATAAATGCAATGCCAAGAACTGAAATAAAAAATGAAATTTAAAAAAAAGCATAAGTGCACACAATCCTGAGGTGTAGACATAAAGTTTGCCAACTCGCTTGGTCAACTTCCTCCTGAAACCCCGATGCTCATCAGATGAAGACACTAAAGATCCTAATTGGCAGGTGTAAATTGCAAAATAAAATTCAACAACGATTAGCTGTTGCAGACGGCAACAAGGACAACTTCATCTGCAGAGTCTGCCAAGACACCATCTGGGACTGAATGGTTACACAAGCGGTGGAGAAGCAAACACTGCCCAGGAAAAGACTGAAATCAAGTTACTTTTCTCAGGTCATCTTCAAGTTATTTTATACCCAGAGCCAGGGGCAACAACAAACTATACTTAAAACAGTTTTGCTTGTACCACTGCGCAGGTTGCTATTTGACAGCTTCACTTTTCCAACCACCTGATTCTCAGCCAATAAGATAAAAGAAGAGCTTCACCCTGAGATACCATTGACTTCCATGAAACTTCCCAAATGCAAGAAACCTGGTATCCTCCGTGAAACAGCCCAAAACACAGCAGCAGGATGCTGTTAATTCAGGAGAAGCCACTTTAAGAAAACAGCGTTCTTCCCAAACTACCTCCTTGACTATAGAGTCAAGATTAGAGCCACCACGCCATTTCTGGCAGTGACAAGATTTTGCTAAATGCCCACCTAAAAGGCAGCCACCACGCTTCCTCTTAGGATGCAAAGAATTCAGAGTATCTTTCATCTCCGTTCTTCACTTTGAGGGAGTTCCCAATTAGTTTTGGCTAAGCTGACAGCAGACGTCAAGGGAGCGAGTCGAAGTAAAACCATCAAGCACGCCGGGTAGCAGCGACTTCTGAAACCACGTTATCGCGGGGGACAGCTCTGCTTTCACCCTATCTATGCTCAGCACCTTCTTTTCTTGCAAAGCCAAGTGCCAGCAGCAGCGTGCCGCCATTCGATACCTGTCCCTGCTCCTCTGGCAGCATCAACCTGACCAAAGAAGGGACCACCTACTCCTTCAAGTTTCCAAACCATCAGGGCACAGGCTGCCAACAAACACCTCTTTTTGCAGGTGCTTCCCAAAAACTCAAATCACAGTTCTATAGAAAGGACTGAAGAGCTCTCTAAAGCTTTGTATTTTCCTTACACATGCTTTAAAGGGCAGATAAACACCACCTGCAACAACCCCAGGAAAGGGTAAATATTCAAGACTCTTACATTCCTCTTAACAGCTGTAGACTGTAAAACTTCTTAACAGACACAACTGCAAGCTCTCATTTTTCCATAGGCTGAAAGGAAAAAGAAGGGGGGGAGCTGACACCTGCAAGAAGATTTATAAGCCAAAATTTTTAGTTAGATATTAAGCAGAACTTATCCTCGAATTTATAATTCACATTGTCCAAAAGAGATTTCAAATCAGCTGGCTTATGGTCACCTTAGACACAATGTTTCACAGGAGAAATAATTTAGTTTAAATATTAATAACTAATAGTATTGGCTTCCTATAAGCCCCAACTTTTATGCATAGCAAAGAAACAGAGGTTCTTCACTGAAAATACTGGATAGCCTAAAGTCAAAATTATTTCCTTACTATGGAACATGGAAAGCCTGCAGCAATTAAAGCAACAGGATTTCAGCATAAGGTGGAGGGTTAACAAAATTTCTCAAGCTTGTCTTTTTCAAAACCAGCAACGACTCCTCACACTCTTTGGAAAAGACACGGATGGGCTCACACTTGGGCTTTTCCTCTAATCTCCCTTCCTTCCAGGATAATGTCCTGCTCCTGGAAAATCACCATGAGCTGCTCGCCTGTACAAAACACAGCAGAAGCCTGGACCTTCAATAAGCACGTGGGAAAATTTAATCATTTGGTAACAACTACAAAAAAAGAAGCACCAACTCCAATCTTACGACAATTTAAGAGCCCCAGCAAGCACTTCCACCCTAATCATCTCTGATTAAGAAGGTATTGTGCAAACATGATAAAGAGCCAAAGATATCCACGCTGGTTGTGTCCTCTGAACAAAACAACTTTACTTCTACTCCTGCTTGGTTTTATTCTAGGCTTGACTGTTTTGTATCATTATTTACAGCAGCGCACAAGACATGAGGTTTATTGCATAAAGAAACAACCTTGAACACTGTTTTTTTAATCACTAGATTCAATGAAAAAAGTGAAATCTCAGTTTTGTTTCAAAGACTTCTTTAAAATACTGTTGGAGAAGTCCTAACAGGCTTCTGCACTCAAAAAGTTAAGTTTCAGAGAGCAAAGTTTGGGGAGTTACCAGTCAGGTACCACCTTGGTTGCCAGGTACTCACCGAGTTTGGGTAGTTCAGATAACAGATCTGACAAGGCATATCCTGGGCCGATGACCTTGTGTTCATCTGGCGCGTTCGGGACTTTTTACTTGGATTAATTACATGACACTCTGCAAAGAGCTTCTCCAAGTTGCCATCGAAGTACCTGCATAACACACGAGACAACGAAAGCTTAACTACTTTCCCTGTAACTCATGATTTTTCAAAAGCTATTTGAGAGTTAAGTGTTCAAAGTTGGTTTTAGTATTTAAAAAAAAACACAAACAAAAAACAGATGTAACTTTCTCTCCCAGCACAGCTTCTCACGTGACAGTTCTCCACCTCCCTGTCCCAGAAAATCTTCACCACACACTTCCATTCATCCTCATCAAACCCAAGGAGGTCCAGTTAAGATTTCACCACATTCTCATGCAATTTCACCTACACTTCTCCACAGATAATCGCACCTAACACATTCCAAACATCTACATTTCTCCAGAGCTCCTTCATGTTAGCAGCTCCATTTTAATCTCTATCAGAAACTCTGTATTTTTTTTCCACCTCTGGATGGAAGATCTCACTGCTAAAGGGTTGCTTCTTGATAGCTCAGTCCTTATTTTCATCTTTGGCAGGAACTCAGCACTTAACAGCCTTTTTAATCCTCTGCGCTCTTCTCTCTTTGCAATACGGATGTTCAATAACTCCAATACTCAAGAAACGTTACGGTCTGCTCAACCAACATTAGACCCTTTGTTCATTACTGCTGACTTCAACAACTGCTTCTATCAGTTTTTCAAAATTCCTTCTCTTCATTGCATATAAAAACGTTTTCTCTGCTACTTGAAAATGAACAGACACACCAGTGAATTATCTTCAAGTTCCACCATTTCTTCACTGCTTACCAACACTAAACCCATAATAGCTTCAAGCCTTCTAGGCAGAGCCAGACCCCAAACGCAAGGTGAAGAGGCAATCTGGGCTAGCAGCCAAGCCACCAGAGCCACCCCAGCATCAGCAGG